ATCAAACTCTAAGGTCAATGTCAAAAATATTTATACCCATGGACAGGTCTTGTCACGATGAACACACATGTGAAATATAAAAGCACTAGTTAGCACCAACTGTTCAAAAGTTATGGACAAGATTAAAGTTGGGTACATTTTTGCAAAAGTGAGTGAAACTACAAGGTCAAGAGGCCAAATATGTTGGTACCCAGAAGAAGGTTTTGTCATAAGTATTACACATATGAAATATGAAAGCCATAGCTCCAAGCAATCAAAAGTTATTGGCAAGACAGACAGACGAAGACGGACAGGGCAAAAACTATGTACCCCGAATCTTCGATTACGGGGGTATAAAAATAGCAATACAATGAAAAGTCTGGTTAAAATTTAAGGCAACAACATATTATTTTTAATAATTTTTTTGATTTCAATGTTTGCAAAAGTTATTGCGTATACGGTTATACTTCTGTTACAACATTCTGGTGATTGTACATGTATAATTAAAAGGCTGAGGTTTTTACCTAGTTTAACGGTTCATTGCTTTTTTTTTTTTTTTTTTGATTTCATAAAGCACTATTGGTTGATTAATTGATTGTATGTTGTTTTACGTTCCGTTCGAGAAAAAGCACTATTGAAGGATTATCATTAATAACAGCAATTTATTATATATTTGTTATATAATACAGGAATTTTGCATCCCTGATATGAACACAGGCACGCGCCCTGTATTACACACCCTGTATCAGCACCCTTTATTTCACCTTTCCGGAACATCTCTGTATTTTTCATGCGGAGTACCTCAGATCTTTTTCTATTGTTCATGAAGTCTATTTAAATTGTAATTTTCATCAGATATTTTATGTTATTCAAAAGAATTATAAATTTAATTTACAATTATTTCATTTCTTATCGCTGAATGCATTATCTTTGGGAGAAATAACGAGAAACGGAAATTCAACAAAACAGAACACATTCAATTATTAAAAATTCAGTGAATTATTTCAAAGTTTATATATGATTTTTTTTGACACTATTTTCAAATATATAATAAAAACAACAATACATGGCAAAATCTGTATCACACCCTATATCAACCCTCGACAAGTATCAGCCCTGTGGCCTTCGGCCCTCGGGCTGATATTGGAGTCTCGGGTTGATATGGGGTGTGATACAGATTTTGCCATGTATTATTCTCTATATAGTTACGTATACTTAAAATAAAGGTCTAGAATTGATACATTTGCACATGTTTGAATGGCAAAACGAATTTGCTTTACAGTATGCAATCACAAGTCGTAGCAGTGTTTTTTTCCCCAAAGGAATGGGAGGGGGGAGCCAAAAAAAAATAGTTGAAAAGCAAATAAAATTTTAATTTAAAAAAAAATCTTTAAGAAGCAAGCAGATCAAATAAAAAATAGTTGTATCGGTGCAAAATTTCGAATTTTCGTAGTCTAAAGGTAATAACTTTTGTGAAAATGGGTTAATCAACATGAAACAATAAATTTTTGTGAAAATAGGTTAATCAACATGAAACTCGAACTTACTCTGTAAGTCATCAATATCTACCGCCACTGCAAAAAGCCTTCGAAGTCTTAGAGCAATAACTCTGGTGAAAATGGGTCGATTGAACTAAAACTGGAGTTTGACCTGTAAATGATATAAATATAAAGACACCTACAAAAATCAACCCATTGTTTCCAAAAAGTCTGGATAACTTTGACGGAATGACGAAAGGGGTAACAGTACGTGTGAACATTGTCACTTTTTTTTCCTCATTAACTGCTGAACCGATTTAACCTAGTTTGATGTACACGTATATCATCTATGGGTAAAGGGGAACATAAGTTGGGAATTTCATGGTTTCTGCCTTCCTGGGTCTTGTGGAATGGGGCCAAACTCATCAAAATTATTGCAGTTTTTAGAAAAAAATTCTTTACTCCTGGACATCAAGCAGTCCAACTGTTGGCATGATTATAATAAGCATTGAGACCAAAATTGTGAAATTCATGGCCCCCAAGGTGTGTAAGTGGGGTGCTTTTGTTTCAGACTTCCTAATTAAAAAATTCAACAAAATGGGATGCTGATAGTGTAAATTTTTATATTTTATGTATTTTTATGCAGAAATATTTTCCTTATTATAGCATGTTAACCTCATTATCTAGATATATATGGACTAAGTTACATTCTAGACCTTTTATGCAAATGATTGGTGATTTGGCAGGAAGATATCTGATTAGAATTGTTGGCAGGACGATATCAAAATGATTGAAATATTCGGCAGGACGTTATCAAGTGATTGGAATATTCGGCAAGACGATATCAAAGTGATTGGAATATTCGACAGGACGATATCAGTGTAATTAGAATGTTTGAGAGGACGATATCAAAGTGATTGGAATATTCGGCAAACCGATATCAAAGTAATTAGAATATTTTGGCAGGACGATATCAAAGTGATTGGAATATTCGGCAAACCGATATCAAAGTAATTAGAATATTCTGGCAGGACGATATCAAAGTGATTGAAATATTCGGCAAACCGATATCAAAGTAATTAGAATATTTTGGCAGGACGATATCAAAGTGATTGGAATATTCGGCAAACGGATATCAAAGTAATTAGAATATTTTGGCAGGACGTTATCAAATGACTGTACTATTCGGCAGGACGATATAATCTGACTAATTAACATGTAGCATATAATCTAACCCTTTTTACCTGGAATATTTATTTCAAATACCTTATATATGTGCAAAACAAGAAATAAAAATTATTTTTAATCGCCTGGAGAAATATCCAATCACGTACGGAAAAGAGAATATTCTCAGAATACTTGCAGTTTTATTTTTAATTATTAATGAATTAGAAATCTTATAGAATTATTTTATTTCTTGAGCTGTTAATCTCTAACCGTAGCAAAATCTTTATATCTTATAAGTATATAGTGTAATACGTTAAATGAGGGAATTTACAGTTATCTCGCTTTCAATACCTGGCTTCTTCAAAATTATTTTTTTCGTTCTGAAATTAGATTACTTGACAATAAGGTCGTCATAATTTCATTTTTTATCATATACTTCGTTGAAAAACTCATTATTGAAAAAGTAATTCCAATGCTTGTATTTTTAAAAAGGGAAAATCGTAAAATGCTGATTTTTGCAGTTTCCTCACACAATTTCAAAATAATTTTATCCGTATGTGCTGCGGTGATAATATATATCAAAACTGAATCAAAATTTCATGGCACATAATTGTTCTGTTTTTATTTTAAAATAACTTAAAACCGAAATATATGTGCACAAGTTTGCAAACAACTTTCATGTTAACATTAACTTGAACAAAGAAATTATACATTTAGTATTCTAATGTTAGAAATTTTGCCCTCACGATTTCAAAAATTATTTTCAATGACCAATGTATCACTTTTAGCTAAGGTCTGGGAAAGGAAATGTGAACAATTTTGGACAATCGAGTAAAAAAAATTGTGAAAATCAGACAAAAATTGACCTCACACGCTTTTGGCCACCCCCCTTTTTTTAAAATTAAGGTGTATGTTACGTGTAGTTACTTTTTATAGATTATCAATTTTCTGTAAAAAGAAAATAAATGCATAAGAAAAATAAAACAGGGGGAATTTTTTTTTTAAAAAATCAGAACAGTGTTCAATTCACTAGATACAGATTTTTTTTAAGAATAATTTATCGAACATTTATAACGATTCGAAACAAAATATTGTTCCTGTTTTATGCTTTTTGTTTTATATTTTTACACATTTGTTGTAGATAACTGTTGACAAATATGGAAAGAATATTAAAACATAACCAATTTCCTTGGTCATTTCTTCCTCGAAAATTATCTCGATACAAAATAAGACTACGAATCGGATACATTGTCTTCCGGTTGGGTTATAATTGAAGGATAAAACCAGAGACCTCGGAAAGGAATACTCGTAAGTCTCTAGATTTATCCTTCATTTATAACCCAACCGGAAGTCAATGTATCCGATTCGTAGTCTTATTTTGTATCGAGATAATTTTCGAGGAAGAAATGAGTTGTTTACAATAAAGAGGCTCGACCAGAGACGTCCGAAACGATTAATTTGACAAGAAAAAAGTCTTTCGAAGCGAACGATGTCATTTTAAAGTAGGTTAATGATTGATATATAAACAAAATACGAGCTTGAAGCGGGGGTGCCTGAAATTGAGTTAGGTACCTTGTGATAAAAATAAGTAGGGGTGCTCCGTATACGAAACAAGTGCCTGTGACCACTACATATAAAAAACAAAGTGCAGATTCTAGAAAGAAACCCCTCCTTAAAAAAAAAAAAAACAATAGGTCGAAATGACGTTGTAGAGGGGATTCAAATCAAATTAACTACATAAAAAAACAAAGCGCAGATTCTAGAAAGAGACTCCTCCTCGGAAAAAAACAACAGGTCGAAATGACATTGTAGAGGGGATTCAAATTTAGATTGAACACAAAAAATAATATTCTACCGACGTGTAATTTACATGTATACATGCAAGTATTATAGGACTAGGACAAGTACTGATAAAAATCTTAATTGCACTTAAAAAATAATTACGTTTAACTTTAGATACGATAAAAATGCCACTAAAATGTTGCAAATACATTTTGTATATCACACCACCAGTCTATTCAAACAAGATTTACTGTCTTGAAATATGTTTATCCGCCACTACATAGTTATACTTTTTGGATTTTTCCCCTTTATTTTCTATTTAGAACTACAACAGATGTATGTAATATATGAATAATAATGTTTTATGTCGATCCGTAAAATCACAAGATAACGGATGTGTTTTTTTTTTGTTTGGATGATGCATCTGAACACATTCTTTCTACATGTGCATCGAAGATGCTGGTAGCTTGACTGACAGGTAGCCCTCCTAAATATAACCAATCAGAACTCATCACCTACTGCTTCGCTTTCTAGTTATATAGCGATTAGAGTTTATCTTATCGTCTCATTCTAACAAGTAGATTTTATCTTAATTTGTGTGATAAAGCAAATCAAGAGTGTAAAGTGGAAAAATACTTTTCACGGAAAAGAAATTTTCTCAAGATTTTTTTGTTATCATAATGGAAACAATTATATCCAAAAAGCGTTCCTCTCCGGAGTATATCTTTCATTCTGGACAAATTAAGCAAGAATTTCCTCCAGACGGATACGATATATATGATGAAGATGATGCATTACGCGGCCGAAAGCGCAGTGTCTCAAAAGGTAGCAGCGACGGATTCCAGAGTATGTCTTCACCGGAAAGTACAGACGACAGCCTGCCAAATAAAAAAGCAAAAAAGAAATCATTGTCTTTTGAAGAAATTCAGACCCAACGTGTTCTTGCTAATGTCAGAGAAAGGCAAAGAACACAGTCCTTAAACGAGGCTTTTGCGCAGCTAAGACAAATCATCCCTACACTTCCATCTGATAAGTTGAGCAAAATCCAGACTCTTAAACTAGCTACACGATACATAGATTTTCTATATAACGTCCTTCGTAACGAGGAGCTTGTTGAGCCGTTTGGGACTGCGGGGAAGCTGGCTAGCTGTAACTATGTGGCCAATGAAAGGCTGAGTTATGCGTTCTCTGTGTGGAGGATGGAGGGAAACTGGGCAGTCCCCTCTGATTGAACCAACTCCATCCTGTATCTAGAGTAGGACAACTTAAGGTAGGTATTGTGGCCAATGTTTCTGCATTATACATAGATGAAAAGGATTTTTCTTCAATTTAAAGGTGTTAAAGTCAGATTTTGAAATATATTTTGAATCCTAACTGGGTACACACATTTTCGTTTTAATTAGTTTTTTTTTTTTTAAATAATATCCTGAGTCTGAAAATTAGTGGTATATTGTGATATCCATTTGTATAGTTAAGATGACATGAACTTGCTCTAATTGTCGATAATGCTTTGTGAGAGAACTACTCTGACATTTCGATCATTTAAAACATTGTAATGCCAAGATGTCTAAATAACGAAATGGCATGATGAGAATTTACGCTTTATAAATCCATTATTAGTTTTTTTCTGTTTTCTTCATTTTAGTCAATATGAATATAACCTTATATTGTTATATCATGATTTATAATATTCTGAGAGGGAGTGCATAAATAAAAAAAAAACTTTTATAGTAAAATTTTTGTATGTTAAATTAAAAAAAAAAAATAATATACAAACTGGAAGAGAGACGAAAAATCTTTTTTTTTTTTCAAAATATCAGAAGTGAATTAACATACAGTACAACTTCTAATGCTCAAATTACTTCATACTATAGAAGAAAATTAAAAATATTTCTAGGATTCTTGATATAAAATAGCTCAAATTAAGTAATGAACGACAGTAATAATAAAGCTTACAAAGGAACAGTTTTGTTCAGAAAAAAATCTGAGGTGGTACATGTGACGTTTATAAAAATCTGGATTTGCAGTATTCAAACATTCTTATCTTACCCATAGGATTAAAATCTTGCGGGTGAAAAAAAATACATGTAGTTAAGTTTATACGAAGATAATAAATATTCCATTCATTTTTCAAATCTTTTATTTCTTATTTGTTTAGAAGATGCTGGTCCCAAAAATAACGGTTAAAAGGTCTTAATCAGGCATTTTAAGAAAACACAAAAAGTTTCGAGTTCAGTAACATATGGGCATATAAAGTAAAATATATATCAAATATCATTCAACATAATATATTCTCAGTATTACATTATCACTTTAAAAATACGAACAAAATATTCCAACAACCCTTTCTTTTTTTTTCTCTCTTTTTTTTTCTTTTTGCCGCTGCCATTTCTTTACATCAGATACACATTTAATACAGGACCGATGTTTGATACACCAATTTCAAGGCGTCATGTGATCTTTTTTTGCCACTCAATATTCAACATATTTGTCTGAAGCGGTATAAATGGAGATGCACTCGCCATCTTGTACTTCTATATGGAAATATGGAATTACACTCACCATTCGGTGTATACTCCATGCAGTCACACTCGTCATTTTGTGTTATATCATGCACATGAAGTAACACTTGCTATTACAACATGTACATGGGGTTACACTCGCCATTCTACAATGTATTTTACTTCACATACACATTAAGTCACACTCTCCATAGTCCATACTGTGTTGTACTTGACCCATATAGTAACACTTGCATTGTGTGCATACATCATGCACATGAAGTTTCACTCGCCATTCTATATTACACCATACATATTGAGTTCCACTTGCCACTCTTCTACGGTTATACCATACACAAGCCATTATGTGGCATATTACATATATATATATTTTTTTTATTTTGTACGTTTTTTTTTATTCTGTTTGTGTTTGTTTTGTTTTGGGTTGTGTCATGTTGTAAATTTTGAATTTACCGGGTGGTAGTAAATACAAAATTTTCAACATGACAGTTGCTTGGTTTTACTAGAATAAATGGATATTGGGCTTATGTACAACTTGCGTTACTTTCTTTGGAATATTAAAAAAAATTGCTTATAAAGATTTTAATTATGTTGACCTAGATATTAACTGTATTTATAACAGCTATTGGCAGATGGTGCTACTACCTTAAAATTTTGACTGAATTCTTTAGAAGCTATAATTATTACATGGGTAAAGATAAAAACTAAAAGTGATCAAAAAATTAATCTTCCTCGAACAAAGAGGCAACAGGTTCACTAAACTTTGTGATTACAGGTATAGGTGAATAGCTGTAGATTGAATACCTGTCTAAGACACAATCCTACATGTGCCTCTTCAATCTACAGTATTTTTGCTAATTATACTTATCTGCAATCACCAATATTTTAATTCTTAACATTTAAATGCAATCACTAGTCTTTTTGTTAATTATACTTACATGCAGACATTTAATATTATTTGAAATGCATTTAAGATATGTCAGCTAAAATATCTATATTTCGTTAAGCTGAAAATATTTACAAACATTTAGCGCAAAACAAATTGTCTTAAAAATATAAGCAATACCAGATGAAGAATCTTATGGGAACAAATTCACGAGATAATTACCAAAACCTAAGCAGTCCATTACTTAATTTCCCTGCGAATTCTTTCTTTGTAAGAAAGCAGTAGTTTTGAAATTGATTGATTATAAAAACCGTGTCAAAACCCCCTTTTTAATTAAAATTCAGCATGAAGGTTCTTGACATGTGCATTAATTTAATCGGCAAACAAATCTGATTGGCAAACTGAATTATAATTCTCATAAATTTCGGCCAGAGTTAATCAGCGTTGATTTGGCGGTTGCTTTATCTGTTAACAATCGCCTCAAATAAAATGACCATAACTGCGCGCCAAGATGCACTGTCATCAGCATTTTATGCCTGTCAGATTCGCCACACGTTTATTGAAGACTCAGATTCCACAGTAGTACGTGTGGCAAATCTGAAATGATCAACATTTATTTTATCAAATCTACAGAAACTTTCATGATGATGAAGAGCTAGGTTGCAGCATTTTATTTAGCACATTAATTGGACCATAAAAAGTGCATTTGTTTTTCAGATACTGATTCATCTCGCCGAGAGGAAGTAGAGCTGTAAAGTGACTATAAACCAAGCGCCTTTAACAACAAAGGGATGTGTCAGCAGAACTTCCACAAACTTGAAAGTCAGATCAAACATGAAAGATCCGTGCTTTCTAATCATCTTGGATTAGGAAAGATTTTTTTCTAAAGTTGCTGTATTAATTTCGCGCAAATTGCGAAAGAACTTAACTTTAAGAATTTCCATGAAGTATTCAAGAACTCGAAGGAACAAACGGCCAAGATTCGTTCTGTATAAGATATATACGGACACATACGTATATTATGAGTGATAATAACAATATCATGACTTGTTTCACATTCCTTTAATAATGGACATTACTTGTAAACATAAATTTAGTTTAGATAATAATTAAATCTTGGAAAACCTGAGTTTTGTGGTTCTTCTCTCCCTTCCCACTTTTTAAATTTTTTAAGAAGACATGGCATTGTCCTTCATTTGTGTGAGAACAAACTTGTTCCGTTATCACGTTATTATTTTTAGCTAACGTTGGTGGATGGGAAATTGAACAAACACATGTATATAACGAAGTGTCATGTTTCAGTGTTTGTATTTATATACAACTCTAAAATTATCATTTAATTTTAATGTGTTATTCTACATCTGTAATTAATGCAGATAAAATCAATAATACCCTCAGCGCACCATCAGATTTGTTCCTGTCATATACATATAATAGCTGTATAATTCATATCAATTACCAGTAAAAGAAAGATATTATACAATTATTGCTGTTTTTTGAGGCCAATGCGATGATTTAGACACCTGAGGAGTACAATATTCACCCAGCCCGAAGAGGGAGGTGAATATTGTACTTCGAAGGTGTCTAAATCGCATTGACCTTAAAAAAAACAGCAATAACTTTTATTATATGATTATCTATTTTTGCTCCAATGTAGAATAAATAATTCCTTATATTGACCTGGAAATAATTCTTTATATTGACCTGGAAGGTCACGTGCAGGTCAATATAACGTAGTATTTTTTTAACATTGTTGGATCTCAGCCAATCAGAGAGATGGGAATTATTCAATCATTATATTATTTATTGAAAGTTAATCAATTTAACTAGTCTAATAAGACATGAAAAGATTGTGTATTATAAAATTGTCAATTACCTGTTAGTCTGTTTGTAGATAATAAACGTCATAAATTGAATTGTTGCATCGCTGATAACAAAAAATTAGTTACACCCTTTAGGTGATCTGTCTGAATCACATCCAAACAATTTTTTTTCCTCGGTACATAGTATATATATTTCCTTCAACAATAAAATGATACGGTCTGTAACTGCATATATTTTAATAAAGTAAATTCTTGGCACATAGGGATAGCCACGTGACTCACTCCGATGACCTGTTGTACCACTAGCCATCCGTCATCGACAGTCGTCAGTTGCCCCTTTTTCCATAAGTAAAGCGATCTCTAAGTAAATTGTGAAATTCCTGACCTCTGCCGAAGGTGTTCATACTATGGGGAGGGGTGTTATGCCGTATGTTATGAAAATGCATTTCTTTTCTAACATCTAAGAAATGAACTACATGGGAAGTGTATGGTTATCACATGCAAGGGGACCTAAACATAAATTGTATATTACTGAAATTTCATCTTTAAACATTTTCCTCTTTGCAGAAGCTTATAGAAGAAAAAGCTAAGGATAAACATTCTATGGCATATTATGATTGTACATGTATTTACAGATAGAAATAATGACCCATATGAATTTGTTGATGATGTTAAAGCACCAGTGCAGAGCCTTATATAGTCTATAAAATAAAAACAGAAATTCATCTTTAAAATTGTTTGGGTAGCAACCAACAAAGTGATAAACTACAGGAAATAAATTTTCTATCATGCCAAGGTACATATATTGTGAAATTCATGAAACCTGCTTCAGTACTCAGGCCTCAGGGTGGGTCATTCAGTATTTGCACCTCGAGCTCGTTCTGAGCCGAGTAAAATTTGTAGGAATAAGGGCTTGTCCTCCCACTGACTATTTTTATCAATGTATCATTATCTTAAGCTTTGCCAGAATGACAGATTGTTTAAATAAAAATATAGGCTTCCTGTCTCTAAAGCTAGCAAGATTGTAAAGTAATGTACTGGGATATAAAAAATGACATTTTACCGTCATCCAACCCCTTACTTCCTCAAATACAATTATATGGCTACTGGAAAACATTTGGTAAAGAGCAGGTTCTCCTTTTCAGAAACATGAAAGTTATAGGTATTTGGATAATGCCATGTATAACACGTGCACGCGCATGAATGCAGTGTGCGACCAAAATCACATTCGTCTCGCACATTTTACCCAAAAATGCTGAAACCTTTTTAGGATATACAAATCCTAAAAAGGTTTCATCTCAATCAAATGAGTAGTTTTTGAGAACCATTATGGGATAAAAAAAATTCGTCGAAGAAAAAAAAAATCCGACTCAAATATCATGAAGCAATCTTAGACATTAGTCAGAATTTCAGCTATTCATAAATGAATATTTATTTTACACTGACATTTAAAAATCAAAATTTATCAAATTAATTTAAAATTATTTAAGAGCCTTTCTCTGTAATGACTTAAAATTTAATATAGGAGCTGTGGCATGCATAGTCCTAGAGTTTCTCCAAACTCTCTATGATGAAAGTCTTTGATACCATAAACTCAAATCAGGCTAAAATTGGTTGCTAAGAGTCATGGTTACCATGGCAACGTATCCTAAAGTTTGAAAATGGCATTTTTCAACATGTTCAGAGTCCGATAATTAACGTTTGCAGCAATGCAAACAAATTGCAGAAATTTATTGTTTCCAAAAGCTGAAGTCCTGATGTGTTAAATGCATGGTAAACACATGTTGGGTATCAACTATTACATGTATATATGTTACTATGGAAACAATATCAATCAAAAGTAATTTTATTCATTCATCTCATACTCAAAAATAAAAGCAATTATGGATTGAAATGCAATGAAATTATAGAAAAAGAACCTTGTAACATATATCAAGAACAAAATGTAATATTTCTTATTGGTTGGCAATAATTGCCATGGTTTTACTACACCAAAGGGATTTCAAATTTACTCTGTGTATGTTTAACTCTAAATAGAGAGTTGCTATGGAAATAAGCAGAAAAATACATGTATGGTTTAAAGCTTTAATTTATTGTGTTTCCTTGGATACGTACCCTTATATCCAGATTCCCAAAACTTTTATGATTGATATTTATGAACAACTAACCTGACTTTCATTGATGACTACCACACAATCTGAGACTGGATGCAAGAATCTGTTACATACTAGGCTTTCTATTCAGCTATTTAGTTAACAATATCGAACATTCTCCCTTCTTGGTAATCATAGCAAAAGTTTTATTTTCTTTATCAAACTGTATTAATATATATGATAAATAACGTTAGTTCGGTCTTATAAGTACTATTCAAGGTGAGTCAAATAATATTTTTCTTCATTAAAAGGCAACTAAATTCCTAAACCAGCGAAACAATATCACTTTAAACCACTGGTACGTTGTTTTCATGGTTACATTGCAAAGAAACACTTAATCTCAATTTTTCTTATGCTATCTGAATAACAAATCCTAACAATGTATATTTATCAGTCATGAATTTCTATGTTTTTCCTCAAGAAAGTAGGATTAACCAAAACTTAGCAACAATTTTTTTTATGGCTACACTGTGTTACCATGGCAACCATGAAATAATATTGCCAATACCTAATTACTTCAGGTCATTTTTTGAGTTGTTCATTAAGTTTGATCGTGTTTCACCTATCATTAGTGAATTTTGAACATTTTTAGCAGTTTTTAGTATTTAAAAAGTATTTTTAATGTACCCATGATTACCACCTACTTAGAGATATATTCTAAAAAGTTTCTTTAGAACATAATAAATCAAGAATACATTTAACAAGATGTGTTTGTGAAACACCGATATAACTGTATGGCAGCTCATAACCAAGGTGAAGTTTTCCAAAAGTAGTTCTAACTTCAAGGTCATGAGGTAAAAAATAATGGTACCTCAAGAAAGGTCTTGTCACAAGAAATAAACACGTGAAATATAAAAGCCCTAGCACCAACCTTTCAACAGTTATGGTCAAGGTTAAAGATTTTCTAAGTAGGTCATCTTCAAGGTCAAGTGGTAAATATATTTATACAAAAAATGAAATTGTTGTCCAAATGGACTTCGCCAAAAATTACGCTTGCCGAAATTCAAATTCAGATAGTCCGTCGAGTCAGTACCGCAACAAAACAATATTTAATTTTGTGGCAGAACACTATGCAAAGTACAGCTTAAATACCCGCTGGAACAATTTTGAATCAGGCCCCGGGAAAGGGGTTTGAAATGGAATTGGAGGAACTGTTAAGCGGATGGCAGACGAAGCCGTTAAAAGAGGAGCAACAAGGATTGAAGACCCGAAAGAATTCTTCGAATGGGCAATAACCTCGACGATTATCGAAGCTTCATTCTGTAGGATTTGATGGATCAACATCGGAGCTTAAAATCAGGGAAACATCTTGCTTTGTGCTGAATGTCTGTCGGGGTCATTCTGTCGTTCATGGGGCAGTGTGGCACTAACAAATCTGATTGAGAACAGTCTTCTCTCGCAGTAAAACACGTTGACCACGAATTTTGCAGAAGCAGTAGCAAATCTGAACGAGAGTTTTGTAATTCATTACAACGATCATAATAAGCGTAAGGTGCAAAGAAAATTTCAGTTAGAAGATGACGAATTGGTTGTCTGCGTTTACGAAGATCAATGGTATGTTGGGAAGGTGTTGGAATTAGATGTAAATGATGTACCGTCACTCAAAGAGCTAAGGGTATCTTTAGATGGCCTAACATCCCAGACATAATATGGTGTAACTGGGATGACATTCTTTGCAAAGTCACTTCTTTCAATTCGTCCGGGAAAAGCAAATGACTATGGAAATTGAATGCTGAAGAACGTCTATTATAGATTTATTTACTTCCGTAGTCATTTTAAAATCGTACAACGTTAATATTTCGATATAACAGATGTTTTCCTTTCACTTTTTTTTTTTTTAGAAATTCATTGTGCCCGCCATATTGTCAGCCATTCCTCTAGAATCGCGGAGTAAGGAGTTGATCCTTGACGTCGCGGGTTCGAATCCCACTGTGGGACGTGGAGACCGGTCCTTCGGATGAGAACGTATAAACCGAGGTTCCGTGTCGCAGTAGGTGCTGGCACGAAAAAGATCCCTCACTGCTCAATGGCCATAAGTGCCGAGCATAGGTAAAAATTTGCAGCTCTCCACCGGTAAGTGGTGGCGTCTCCATATGAGCGAAAAATTCTCGAGAGGGACGTTAAAACGCAAAAAAAAAAAAAAAAATCCATAC